TGATGGTTCTGGTTCTTTCTTGACCAGGGTCAGGTAGTACCCGGTTCCCAGCTGGTTCTTCAGGTAGAGGGAGGAGCCAACGCAGCACAGCTTCCCGTGAGAGATGATGGCGATGCGGTCCCCGAGGATGTCCGCCTCGTCCATGTGGTGAGTGGACAGGATGATGGTCCGACCTGAGGGGGCGGGGACAGAACTTAGACCCGGTCCAGCAGGTGAGGTCACATAAATACAGGGTAGAGGGTCTGACCTTGTCTGTACTTGAGCAGTAAATCCCAGATCCCTCTGCGAGCGTAGGGGTCCACGCCGGCCGTGGGTTCATCCAGGATGACGACCTTTGACCCCCCAACAAAAGCCAGAGCCACAGACAGCTTCCTCTGCATCCCCCCCGACAGAGCGCTGGTCCTGGACTTTCGTTTGTGGGGCAGTCCGGTGTCCTGCAGGATCTGCTCTATCTCACCTTTGACCTGCTCCTCTGACAGACCTTTGAGACGCCCGTAGAACCAGATGTGCTCCTCCACTGTGAGCCTGCAGGGGGCGACAAAACAAACTATCATCAGCTGAGAGACGGACCTGTACTAAAGGTCCTGGACCGAGGGGGACTGGACTTAGACCAGAAGAGATCGGACCACCAAAACCTCAGAGAGTTCGGACTGAACCGTCATTCAAAGTTCTTCAGATGGTCCAATAAGGTCTGCAGAGAACCTTCCTAAGTTCATCTCAAAGGTAGGCGGGTCCTTCAGACGGACCCCAGGGGCCGCAAGCTCACCCCGACCTCCACCTTCATCCTGATCGTCTCCTAAAAGGTCGTATCCGCCGATCGTAACCATTCAAGTTAACGTGGTTTTTAGGTTTTTAGACGTCATTTCACCCCGATGACACCATGGATGAGGAGATGCTGATTCTAGAAGTCTAGAAGTAGATTTCCTCCTCTGGAAGGACACAATCTACTGCTTATATGTCTATGTGTCTGTCTTTAGAGAGACAACTCGTTATCGTACGATTGAACGTGAATCTGCGGGTTCTTGTGAGTTCTCGTGATTCCTGATCGCCGCCGTTCTGGATGAGGTGAGAATCGGGGGTCAGAGGGGACAACAGGACTGGGCCCAAAACGGACCCTTGAGGGACACCAGAAGAACCTGGGGGTCGACTCAGAAACTAGTCCAAGTTTTCGGTTCTGTGATGCGGTTTCAGACCAGACTGGGACTTTAAACATGAACCTGGACTGACAGACGAGTCCAGCATCAAAACAAAGACCACGTTCTCAAGGAGAAAGTCCTCCTGATGGGGGTCAACGATGGACATCTGTGTCGAGTGAAGGCTGCAGGTCCTGTTCAGAGACACAGGTCTACCTATAAAACCTAAACTGGTCCCAGTACGGAGCCCTGTGGTACCCCCTCCCCCCCCCTACAGACTGCAGGGTCAACAGCGGACTCATGAACAGGGTCAGGACTCACATGCTGAACAGGACGTTGTGTTGAGGACAGACTCCCAGACTCTGTCTGATGGCGCTCAGCTCGGTCCGGATGTCTTTACCCAGGATGTAGGCGGTCCCAGAGGTGGGGGGGAACAGACCGGTCAGGATGGACCTGCAGAGAAGAGGGTTAGTCGGGTTCTGGGTCTCAGAGTACCTGTCTCCATTCCTGATCTCTGTACTCACATGGTCGTGGTTTTTCCAGCTCCGTTGTGTCCCAGAAACGAGGTGATCTGTCCCTCGTAGAACCCGAGCGTCAGTCCGTCCACCGCCAGCTTCCTCCCGTGGCGGTAAATCTTCACCAGGTTCTCGATGTAGACTCCAGGTTCCAGGTGGGCTGGCTCCTCCTCGATGCACACAGCTGAGAGACAGGTACAGGTTACAGGAAGTCTCTTTCAAAGTAAAAGTCTGACTGGAGAATACTGAGGTTTTCCGCTCTGTAGCCCCCTCGTGTGGTGGGTATGTGTCACTGCGGTCTCACCTTCTGCGTTTCCTTTCCGGTACAGGGGGACTTTGCTGGACTTTCCGTCTTTCTCTCCAAACCAGTAGGACTTGGTGAAGGGGAAGAACCAGGGCCGAGGGATCCCGTACTGACCTGGGACACGAAAACGAAGGGTCGAGAGAAAAGATCGGAAAGTTCAAGACGTTTGTTCGGTGATGAGAATCTGGTTTTTTTGGGATGCTCCGATCAGGATTTTGGGTTCCGATCACCGATCCGATCTTACTGAAATCATTATCTGCCGATCCGATATTTCCAATCGCCGATCAAGGCGTTGAAAACAGCGATTCAAGCGTCTCATATTTTTGTGCAACAAATATTAAAATAGGAGACGAGAAAGTTTTAGGAAGTGACAACAGGGTATCTGCAACATTCCACTCTAGATCGGCGCCGATCAGCTAGGAGAACCTCTAGTTTCACATGACAGCTGCGGGCTCTCACCTGGAAACACGGCCTCCAGGTACCAGGTGAGGACTCCGTACAGGAAGGAGTCAAAGTACATGAGGGTGATGGCGGTGCGCAGGCTGAAGTCGTCCTCCTCCAGAGGACTGGACAGCAGGTTCTTCCACTGGATCCCGACCCCCTGCTCCTCAAACAGGGCGAAGTATTCACAGCCGAACCCGAACGCCACAGGAGACAGGAGGCTCTGTGAGGAGAAGAGACCATGTGACTCATCAGGTCCAATAACAGCACGGCGTCATAACGACCTGTCAGAGTGTGGGGGTCTTACGGCGAAGACTTTGGCCCCAAAGCCGATGTAGTCCTGCCAGGCCACGCAGAGGACGTACGGCAGGTACAGCGTGAAGTAGATGATCCCTCCGCAGGCCGCCGCCAGGTTAGCGCGAGCAAACGCTGTGCTGAGCAGGAAACACTGCATGATGGTGACCACGGCGAAGGAACTCAGGAAGAGGAAGATCACACCAGGGTCACTGTAGGGGAGGAGGTTCCCTTTCTGGTCCAGAAAACAACAAAGTTCAACAGAATCAGTTCAGCCCAGAACCCCCCCGCCCGCCCGCCCGCCCGCCGACCTCTAACCGGCTCACGGGTGTCCGAGTGTCTCACCTTCAGGAGCAGAACCAGCAGGCCGGCGCTGATCAGCAGGGGGATCAGGCAGCTGATGAACCAGCTGAACCACAGGATACCGTTATTCAGACCCATGATCCTCATGGTCTCCTTCAGACGCGCCTCCTTCTCGTACACCACGCTCTTCAGGATGATCGCCACCGAGTACATCCACGCCAAAGTCATGAAGAGCGGCATGGAGCGGCTCATCACGCGCAGGAATCTGACGGAGAGAGGGGGAGGAGTCAGAACCAGAAACCAAGAACCAGGGCCCTCAACACAGAACCAGAAACCAGAACCAGATCAGCTGTGTCGGTCCCTTACATGTCGTCCACGTAGCACGGGTACGGCATCTGCTGGATGTACACGCCCGTCTTCTCTTTGGTGCCCGTCAACGCTCTGATGATGCCTTGCTCGATGACATCCTGCAGGTAAGTGAACCCGCCCCAGATGTACCGCATGTCCTCAAAGGGGTCAGCCCGAGGACCCGGGTCCCAGTATCTGAGAGAGAACAGGGGGCGTGCGTTTATGATGGAGAAGTGCTGACAGTTAAATTCGCGCTCTCTGTCCTGTTGCTAATGGTTACCATAGATATCTAAAGGCCAACAGTGTGCGTAAGACATCTAGTGTTTATATATCTATGGCTGTAGCTGCATGTGGGCGGTACTGATGAGACTCTGTAAAGAGAGCTGTACTGAACACTGACCCTCTCCTTTGTCCTCGTTAAAGAACAATGTGGGGACCTGATGTTTGTCCGGAAACGTCCCCACAATGACTTAAAACAAACACACCCAACACACACATGTTTTTGTTTATAGGAGCATTCAGGATCACAGCGGCGCTCCAATCAAGGGTCACTTTCATCTGACTGTGGGTGTGTGTGTGTGTGTGTGTGTGTGTGTTCAGTGCGTCCCCTCACGCGTCTTTGATCTTGTTGGTGCGCTCCACGTTGTCGATGTCCATGCGGATCTTGTAGTTGAGTTTGGCGGGCAGCTCCGTGGCGTTGGGGTCGATGTCGGGGAAGACGATCCCCGCCCAGAACTTCCTGTCCTCCAGCAGCACCATGGACTGGTTCACCATATGCTCCTCGCTGGAGACCGGCTCCAGTTTGTCCAGGTTCACACACTACACACACACATGAACACACATGAACACACACAGATCAGGTCAGGTGGTCTAAGCCCACCAATCACAGCTGATTACAAGAGTAAATGGGATTAATGAAACTCTATAAAGAGTGGATGTTTTTATTTAATTCTCTGATAATCTGAAGAACTGTCTGCTCTGCGTTAAAAACACTCATGACTCTGTAGTGGAAATCACTGAATAGGTTCTAATCAGACTGAGGCCCACTTTGAAAACCAGTCAATCTGATCAACAAACGTAGGTCTTAAACTCAGAATTTAACTTAAACCTGCTCAGATTAAACCTGCTCATACCAAACCTGCTCGTAAAAAAACTGGTTGGATTAAACCTGTTTAGATGAACCCTCCTCAGATTAAATTTCCTCGCATTAAACCTGCTCAGATTGGACCTGCTCGGGTTAAACCTCCTCAGACTAAACCTAGTTAGTTAAGATCTGTTCAGACTAAACCTGCTCGGATTAAACCTCAGATTAAACCTCCTCAGATTAAACCTGCTCGGGTTAAACCTCAGATTAAACCTCCTCAAATTGGACCTGCTCAGATTAAACCTCATCACCTTGAATCTGTTCAGATCAAACCTATTAAGATAAGACCTACTGAGACCTGATCAGATTAAACCTGCTCAGATTAGACCTGATCAGATTTAACCTGCTCGGTTTAAATCTGTTCAGATTAAACCTCCTCTTAATAAACCTGGTTAGATTAAACCTCTTCAGATAAACCATCCTCAATTTAAACCTGCTCAAACTAAACTTGCTCAGATTAAACCTGCCCAGATTAAACCCACTCAGATTAAACCTTCTCAATTTTAATATGTTCAGATTAAACCTGCTCAGATTAAACCTGGTTAAATTTAACCTGCTCAGATTAAACCTGTTTGGATTAAACCTCCTCAGTTTAAATCTGTTTTAAACCTGGATTAAACCTGCTCAGATTAAACCTGTTTGGATTAAACCTTCTCAGTTTAAATCTGTCCAGATTAAACCTGCTCTTAATAAACCTGGTTAGATTAAACCTGTTCAGATTAACCATCCTCAGTTTAAACCTGCTCAGATTACAAAGACAGAGCTGCCATCACAGACGGCAGAGACCTCAGAGTGTCTTCTTCTCTGTTGGCGTCTCTCTGAGTTTCGAGGGTTTTTGTTCTGACCTCCATGAAGCGAGAGATGCTCATGATGGCCTGGTCCGTCTCATTAAACACCTCCCTCCAGGTGATGGCGGTGCCTGTGGGTCGGGGATCCTCCCCCTTCTTGGACAGGAAGTTGGAGAGGTCAGCGACGGTCCAGTCGGTGCTGCTCAGCTGAGCGTGGAAGAACCTGGCGGTGACGTTGTTCTTCAGGAGAGTCTAAAACACAGACAGGAAGGACTTTTATTTTGTTACCACAGGACAAATTCAGGGATCCTGCTCGTCCCGACAGACCGCACCCTCACGCTTCACGCAGGTTACTCATTCGCTGCCATTTAAATAAAAAAAAACAGAAACAGAAACTTTTAAAACTCCTGGAAAAACTGGGTTGATTCAGAAATTCAGTCAGAAATGTGTTCAGTATATGTAAGATGTTGATGGAATATTGATCTGTGAAATCAATAAGGAAGAAAATTAAAATAAAATAAAGTCACAAGCATGATCAAAAAACACAGAAGTACTGCCAGAGTGATTTTCAAAATAAAAGCCCAATGTGTTCTCTCTGCGGCGAGACTGACGATAATGAAGACAAAGAACTTTTCCGCTAAAATGATCAATTTCTGAGATTTATTTTTAGTCTTTGTATCAGCACTGATTCGTCTAAAGGTTGATAAGTTCTCAGAACCTCATGGACCAACTGGACTGAACCTGGTGGGAGTGCAGATAAAGATGACATACACCCTGTTTCCACCACCAGGGGGCAGCGACAGCTCAGTTTACAGTCTGTGTCACTCTCTCAGTCTCAGGTGAAGAGAGGAAACCTTAAAAAAGACTTTAAACTGAGACAGGAGACCCTAACCTGGACAGGTGGTCTCACCTGGACTCTGAACAGAACAAATACAACAAGAATGACAGATTCAGGACAGGTGAGCGTGAGGGCGGAGCCTATTTACCCTGACCAGGTCCATCTGCTCGCTGTTCTCCATGAAGTCCCAGACTTTGGGTCTCATCTCCTCCCACATCCCACCCAGGTCCCTGAACACGCCCAGCTCCTGGAAGGTCCGGTTCACCTGAACGCACCAGAATCATAGAAACAGGTGAGACAGATCAGAGAGACGGGACAGGTAAGACACAGGTGAGAGGAAGTGTTCAGGACAGGAAGTGATGTCAGACCTCGTGGATGACCCTGGCGGTGGCGGGGGTGTGGGGGGTGTAGAGGATCTTTCCCAGCAGCAGGGGCTTCACAGCGGTCCAGATCATCCGGGACATCGGGTTTGAGTCCATGCTCCGGACCAGACTGTTACAGAAGGGGGCTGAGACACACACACACACGCACACACACACACACACACACACGCACACACACACACACACACACACACACACACACACACACACACACACACACACACACACACACACAGAGCTGTTAATTATCTGTATTTCAGTCATTATGAGTGGGAGGGGCTTGTTGCAGGTGTTGATTGACACATAGATAAACCAATCAGACTTGGTCATTCTCATCACTGCGTCAAAAGACTGAGCATGCTCAGATCCATACGTGTGTTTATCAATATTTAAAGTCATGGTTGGCGATTGTAGAGATTGGTAATTATCATGAACCTCGTTTCTATGGCGACCATGGTTCTATAGTGCGATCTCCACAAACAGTTGTTTAGCCGATATTTCTCTAGCGTGTTTCTGTCTCGGTGTCTGGACTCACTGGTGGAGTTGTCGTAGAGCGACGTCGGCTCGTCCTCGCTGCTGTTGTGGTTTCCGAACAGCGCCTTGTAGTTGCTGTCCTCGTACCAGTTCAGGGACTTGATTTGGAGACCGCCGCCCTCGGGGTGACCGCACACGATCCTGGAGACCGCCTGGTACATGGTGCTGGGGGACGACGTGGCGTTCTGAGTCAGGAACACGATCTCATTCCTCAGGTCGACCCAACTCTTCATACCCGCCAACTAGAGAGAGAGAGAGAGAGAGAGAGAGAGGGAGGGAGGACAAATCAAAAGGAGTCTGAGCCGTCAGGTGAGTTTACCTTCACTGTGTTTTTGTTGTTTCTGTTTTTCTTCTGTGAAGTTGAGTCAGATCATTTTAGACCTGCTTATATTTGATCCTGTTTTCATCTGACAACCAAGTGGAGTACAGGTGAGATGGTTGAGACAGGTGAGACAGGTGAGACAGGTGAGACAGGTGAGACACAGCTATCCTGTCTGCCTCGTTGCCAGTCCATGACAGTCCTGTCGTCTATAATCACAGACTCTCTGTTTCAGCTGTTTCTGCTCGTTTTTACACGAACTCTGTTTTTTATCAACTTTCATCATCTCACCGCAGTCGCCGGGTTGATTTACCCTTTTCCCATAATGCTTTTCCTTCTGATTTTGTGACCCCTACACTGACTTTCATCGTACCAGGGCTTGTATTGCAATTTTGATGATAGTCTGTTGACCAATCAGAGGCTGAATCTATGATCAGCTGAACTTTCAAGGCCCAATCAGACTCCAGTGTTTAATGAAAGCGATAAATATATTTATTTATATATTTATTTTATTTTGATTTTTTACTTTTTATTTATTCTTATTTTTTTCATTAAATTTTTTAATTTAATTTTTTTAATTTATCTTTTATTTTTTTGAAAGTGATAAATATTTTATTTATTTTTTCTAAATTTTTTATGTATTTTTTTTTTTACTTTTTTAAAATCTTTAATTTACTTTTTTATTTTTATTTTTTTAATTTCTTTTCTACTTTTATTTTCTAATTTTATTAAATCTTTATTTTTTACTCCATTAATTTATTTTCAATTTTTTGTTTTTTTTTTAAGTGATGAACGTGATGAGAGTCGTGATAAAATTTGTGTCGTTGTTCGACTTTCTTTCGTTACAGAAAATCTACAGGGATCCACGAGCAGAGTCATTAACTATATTCGCATTAATTAGCTCTGATTAAGTCCCGCCTCCTGTGACTGATGACATCAACAGACTTCCTCCACACTCCAAATGTTTTTCACAATAAAATAACTTCAGACTGAGTTTGAACTATAATTTCATGAACTAAATAAAAGATCGACTCTTCGTTTCTGCGTCTGTTGAACTCGCCTCGCTTTAACTCTCACTGTCCAGGACGGAGGAGAGAGAGAAAGTGGTGGAGCTGTTTTTGAGTGTTTTCACAGAAACAGCTGTCCGGCTCTGAAGTCAGCGCGGGTTTATCTGCACAGTCAGCAGTGATCTGAACTGGATCCTAATGAACTCCAGTAACTCCGGCGTTACTCAGAGGAGGAGGGGGGTCACATGTTTCCTGCTGCTCCAGGAGGAAGAGGAAGAGCCCGAGGTTACTGACGGTTAAACTGCAGCAGAAGTGAAACCGTCTCAGAGTGAATGTGAGCCAAAGGTGATCCTTTTAAAGGACCAGACTGTTATTTTTTTATATTTATGAGTTTAACTCAGACGGAGACTCAGCTGAACTCTGACCCGGCTCAGCTCCGTGTGAAAAAACCCAGACCTCTGTAACCTCGCAGGAGTAACTTGGTGTGTCAGCCGTTTTAGTTCATCCTGAAAGTTTAAAGAGAATGTGCAGAAGTGGAGAAACGGGGGATCTTTGATTTTAGGTCCGTCCAGCAGCAGAAAAATGCTTCACAACAGAGACATGCTCGCCGTCTCCTCCTTCTGTAACTCGCTGAAAACACACCTCTGATATTTGTCTGTAAACCTCAGGGAGGACGGATCGCTGTAAAGTTCAGAAAAGACAAACACTGGTCCACAGACGAAAACAACAAACTCTGAATTACTCCTCATTCTGGAGTCGAGACACACCTGAAAAACTGAAGACCGTTCCCTCAACCCTCGATGGATCCATTTTAGCAGACCTAGACCGGCCTGACGCACAGGCGGGTCTAGGTCTGTTAAAATGTACAAACTACCACAACACATTACTGAGCACCTGAAGGTGTTTGTTTATTTATCATCCCATCTGGATACTTCACATTTCATATTTATTACTTATTTCATGGGCCCATTTTTTCATATCTCACTTTTTCTCTGTGGATGTTTAATATATTAAGTCTGTATTTATTGTATATATTTAATATATTTAGTCTGTATTTATTGTATATATTTAATATATTTAGTCTGTATTTATTGTATATATTTAATATATTTAGTCTGTATTTATTGTATATATTTAATATATTTAGTCTGTATTTATTGTATATATTTAATATATTTAGTCTGTATTTATTGTATATATTTAATATATTCAGTCTGTATTTATTGTATATATTTAATATATTTAGTCTGTATTTATTGTATATATTTAATATATTTATTCTGTATTTATTGTATATATTTAATATATTTAGTCTGTATTTATTGTATATATTTAATATATTTAGTCTGTATTTATTGTATATATTTAATATATTTAGTCTGTATTTATTGTATATATTTAATATATTTAGTCTGTATTTATTGTATATATTTAATATATTTAGTCTGTATTTATTGTATATATTTAATATATTTAGTCTGTATTTATTTTATATATTTAATATATTTAGTCTGTATTGTACAAAAAACAGACAGGACTCTGAAGTGGGAATCTCCGCATGGAAAGGACAACTGGACTCAAGTAAGTCCAGTTGTCCTTTCAACAAAGAACTGGAAATCATAGATGCTGCATCCTCAGTTCCAAAGAGT